ATGCAAGTGAAGAAGTGAGGTTCTTACCCACGAAAGCTTATGCTCCCAGTACTTCTGTTAGTCTTAAAGGTGCCACAGGACCCTCTGTTGCTTTTTCCTGAACATGTTGTTACAATCCCTTAGTACAACTTTTAAGATTTTTTTAAAAATTTTTGAGGTTTTACGTAGCCCACGCCAGCGCCGGGGCTTCCACTGTTACCCTGCTGGACCAGAGGCAGAGACGCTAAGCCTCCCTCCATATTACTCAGCCTACTACCACCGAGGGTTCTGTGGAATTGCTTCCACAGTTCATACACCAAATACAAAACCCCTCCCAGGGGCAGAGTGAGAAATCCTAAGTTCTTCTTTTATGCTCAGTCATGCTACTGCTGAGGGCGTATGAACCGAGGATATCTGTCGTGTGGAGCAAGGGTCTCGAAGCCCACCTCCTGTTGCCTGGCAGTCATACGACCCGGGGTTGACCCACCTGCACCCTTCCCCTGCCGACCAGGGTGGAGAGAGGAATGCTAAACCCCTCTCCGGTTTTCAGCCATGCTATGACTGAGGGTGGGGCACACCTGTAATTATAAAATCCTCAACATGAAATACCAACAGTGCCAAGTGTCTAAATTTTAAAGCTTTATTAATAAAATAACAGCGGAGAGTGATGGCCAGGTATGAAAATCATCAGACTCATACCTAGAGTAGGAAGACGCGATTAGGTTTATTTTGTTTTTCTTATGGCTTGTGGATTCCTCTGTGCTAACCCCAGATGCTTTTGTTGTTTGTAACCTTTAAGCTGAACCCCCAAAAAACTATTTTGGGTGCTTAATTTTTGGAATTGCTCTTTTAAAAATCTAGCAATAGCCTGAGTTTTCAGATGTATTTTCTTTTTCTTGTTTTTAATAAAATTTACCTTTTTTTTTTTTTTTTTTTTTTTTTTTTTAAAAAGAACGGGATTTGGATTTTTGTGTCTTAAGAGGTTTGTGCACGTTTTCTAATTAGCTGGTGGCAACAGCTGATTTCTTTGTTTTCCTTTCTCAGCTCTTCCTGGGGGAGGGGGGTGAAAGGGCTTGAGGGTACTCCACAGGAAGGAATTCCCAAGTGCGCCTTTGTGGGTTCCAAGGTGTTTTGCATTTGGGTGATGGCAGCAGCATCTACCCAGCCAAGGTCAGAGTAAAGAAAAACTGTAACCTTGGGAGTTGCAGGCCCCCACCTTCTACACTCCAAGTGCCAGAGTGGGGAATCCGCCTTGACAAGAGCCATCTACGTGCCGTGCCCTGGTCTGAATCCTGATTGTGAGGCATCCAGGATGTTGGCTGATGTAACATGTTGTTGGAGCTTGGTGGTTGCTGTTTTCTCAGTTGTTTTGCCCAGGAACAGAAGGTTAGAGATGAGACAGTAGTTGGAGAGCAATCTTCAGAATCAAGTAATGGGGCTTCTTGAGGATTGGGTAAACTATAGAATTTTTAGGTGTGTTTCTCTGAAGGTGGCCTTGACTATTTCCACTGGTTGTGGTCATAGTTCTTCATTGGCAATGAACCAACCACAAATGACACGGATTCATTTAATAGGTTGTAGCTGTAATATTTTTCAGGGCTTCTTGAACATGGGCATATGTGAGGAGGCCCAAACTTTGCCGGGGTGCTAGGGCAGATAATAGTCGGGGGGAGGGGGATTTTCCTTTCCAGTTAGTCCCTCTATATTCAGTTGATCAGTGACATATGCTGACAGCTCTTTACAATGGTGGATGCTTGGGTCTGGTGTCTGGGCTGTGCAAACTGGGTTGATTAGCTGGTTTTCTGTGTGAAATGTCTATGCTGGCCGTGATTCTGCCATACTGATTTGCGGAGTAAAAGGCTCATTTTGCCTCCTTTATTGCAGTGGCATAGTCCTGTAAGCGTTTGTGCTGCTGGCAGAGGGATTTAGAATGGGTTTTTTTTTTGGACCATTGATGTCCTGATTTTGCGTATGTTACCTGCTGTAGTTCACCTGTGAACTGTGGTGGTGATCTTATTTGGTGTGAGTGAGGGCAAGTGGACAGTTGGCAGCCAAGGCCTCAACAGTAGTGGGCCACAGGTGACCATACTGCGGTATTTACAACCCAACATAGGAGCATTGTGCTAGTGTGGGAGAAAGTGAGTTAAAGCATAGGACTGGGAGTCAGACCAGAATTTAATCTGTCTTGTCTGGCTTGCTGCATGACTATGAGCAAGTCAATTAAACTGTATGGTTTTTATCTCTGTGAAACGGGATAATATTAAAAATAACCTACATTACAGAAGCATTGCCTTGCTTACTTCATTAATATCTGTAATGTGCTTCTGATTCATAGCACTTCTGTAGGGCCATTCAATCATTATTATTTCAGTAGAAACAAGTCTATTTTATTGTCCAAACTAAGGAAAATGCAGAAAGTAAGAAAAGTAAAAAGTAAATTAGATAAAAACTTGAATTTTAAAAAAAATCCTAATGTATTACTAAAAACACACAAGTAATTTGTGTCTTCTTCAGACCTGGGAAGCTACCTAGTCTAAAATTACCTTGTTGATAAGTAAAAGATTCTTATTAGATGTGGTAGTTTTCTGCTTGGCCCTCAAAATTGCTTACTGTAGAGCTAGTCAGTTGATACAAGTAGCACATTGTACAAGTGCACAAGTTTAGCAAATCACTCTCAGCTCAAACAAATATAATACATTGCTTAAAATAAGACCTAACATAAGAATGGCTATACCGGGTCAGACCAAAGGTCCATTTAGCCCAGTATCCTGTCTTCCAATAGTGGTCAATGCCAGGAGCTTCAGAGGGAATGAACAGAATAGGTAATCATCAAGTGATCCATCCCCTGTCGCTCATTCTGGCAAACAGAGGCTAGGGACACATTGCTGCCCATCCTGGCTGACAGCCATCAATGGACCTATCCTCCATGAATGTATCTAGTTCTTTTTTCAACCCTGTTATAGTCTTGGCCTGCACAACATCCTCTGGCAAGGAGTTCCACAGGTTGACTGTGCGTTGTGTGAAGAAATACTTCCTTTTGTTTGTTTTAAACCTGCTGCCAATTAATTTCATTTGGTGACCCCTAGTTCTTGTGTTATGAGAAGGAGTAAATAACACTTCCTTGTTTACTTTCTCCACACCAGTCATGATTTTATAGACCTCTATCATAACCCCCTTTAGTCTTCTCTTTTTCAAGCTGAAAAGTCCCATTCTTATTAATCTCTCCTTGAGACTCATTGCAATTCTCCAGAATGACCTGAATGATTTTGAAGATGTTATCTAAGGCTACCTGGCTGTCTGTCTAGACATGCAATGACCTTCACCACCATTATTTCTAAGTGCATCATACTTATTTATGGGTTTTATTCTCTGAAATCTCTGGGAAATACCACATTTTTCTGGATGGGGAGCTAAGGCAGAGAGATCACATGACTTGCCAAAGTTCACAAAGGAAATCTGTGTCTGAATTGGGAATTGAACCTGGATCTCTTGAGTGCGCTATCAACTAGAGAATCCTTCCCACAAGGTTAGAGAAGAGGGTTAGGCTCCTAGGCTTCTGGCTTCTAGTCCCAGCCCTGCAACTGGGCATAGCTACTACTACTGCACAGTATTGTGAGGCCAAATTAATCCTTTATGCACACTATTCCCCCATAATGGTAATGAAACTCAGTGAATTTGCGCTAATAGAATTTTCCAATGCATTTTCCATTGTGAAAGTGTGATTTACGTCACAGGAAAGTAGCCATCGATTTGGCTCCAAAACTGGCAGACCGTTGGGTACGTGGACCTTGACACTGCTCCAGACCTTTAAGGGAAGTTCCACATCACAAAAGGTGCAAATTTATGCTAACAGGGTTGTCATTAACTTGCCCAATAAAGTCCTGTGGAATTGTGGGAGGATGTGACTCAGTGGAAAGCATCCTTTGTCTCCCTTATCTTCCCCCCCCCTCCTCCTCTCCATGGAGCTCATTTTGAGTGTCAACGAAGAGACTTCTTTTGCAGGGTTGTGTGAAAGGTGGTATGATGTCATAAGTGGTGAATGCCATGTCTTTGTACCCCTGCCTAGGAGTAGGCATTCTGTAGTCTTTTATCTTCTCTGCATGTGGAGGCAGGAGGGAAGATTTGGTCCTGAATGTCCCAGAGCATTTTGGAGGCAAGGTTGCCTATAGGATACTGTAATAGCACTAGGACATCTTAAATTAATTGGCTTTGCAGTGCTATCTGCAGCAGAGCCAACACACTGTAATTGAGAATTCAGTCCCCTTTGCCTCTGCGACAGTAGCTAAGCAACTCTTTTAAGTAGCCTTAGTAGTAGTTGCACTCTGCTCTTTACATTAAAAAGATAAATGTTTTTGAACCAGTACACCTGGCCAGTTTTTTTTAAATATTAGCATTTGATAGACCTGTCTGGGCTATTAAATGTGTACCTAGAGATTTCACTCAATTTAATAAAATGACTAGAAAGAACACAGGTGTTGTAATGATGATCACTCTGTAATACGGTAACACCTTGTTAAATAGAACCTTCTAATGACTATATTCCCATGTAAACGAAAGCTAACTGTTGTAATGATTGTTTTGTTTCTGATATTTATAGATGTGTTAAAAACTTCCTAAACAAATAAATAGTTTAAAATACACATGCACCTGCACACACGTACATGTGTGTTTGTGCTGTTGTTTATGGAAATATAGTCATAACACTGAACCAACCAGCTATTAAAATAACTCTAGTGGAAAAACCCTTGGGAGGGGCTTAGAGAAGAGAGGGAACAGTGTGCCCATTATCTACCTCTTCAGCCTCTGTTCCTTTCCCCACACAAACTTTCCACTGCTGGGGGCCTCCCCAAGAGTCTAAGATGTCCATATCAAACAAGACTTGAGTTTGACTTGAATATGGACTAAGTGGAGACCTGGTTTGCAGAAGAACTCATAGCAGTTTGAGTTCTGTTTGTCCTTAAGCCCAAAGTGCTACTTTACTATAACAATCCCTACTGTGTGGCTATGTTGTTTGCTCAGAGACTGAAGTACGAAGAGTGTTTTCAGATAAATTAAATCTGTACCTGCTTGGTCTGCCTGCTGTAAGCGAGCAAATGGTTTCTCTGTGCACAATGAAGCTCTCCATCTGTGTGAGTGACTTTGTATTGCTGTTTGAGAGAGAATGTTGTAGAATGCTGATCAGAGGCTGATAGCCTGCTCCCAAATGATAGCGTCAGCACTGGGTACAAGTCCAATACTGTTATGGAGCACTCTTGTCTATCCAGAGAAATTAAAGTTCACAGCTGAGATCTGTCAACACTGTAGAACATACCCATTTTAAGTGATTACGAGAATTCCAACACTGAAGAAAGGAGTGATAAGAAAAAAATGATTGAAAAATCCAGAAAGTTAATACTGATGCTTCTTTCTTCCACAGGTGGTTTTCTCACTTTTATATTCTTTCTGTGGTCTGGAATGGCTTCCTGCTCCTATTGCTTATTCAAGCTTTGTTCCTAGCAAGACCTTTCCCGATATGGCTTCAGGATTTGCTCAGTGCTCTTGGTGGAGCTTCGCAGAACCAGGATGTGGGCAAGTACTCCACATGTTATGGACAGATGCACAGATGATGTAACGCAGAACTGGTATACTCTCCTGACCTTCCTTTGAGAATGCATTAGCTACTTATCCCTAATTTATAAATTTATACTATGGCTGTCAATCGCAGTTAACTCACGCAATTAACTAAAAAAAATTAATCACGATTTTAAAAATTTCTGTTTTAATAATACTGTTAAACAATAATAGAATACTAATTTAAATTTATTAAATATTTTGATGTTTTTTTACATTTTCAAATGTATTGATTTCAATTACAACACAGAATACAAAGTGTACAGTGCTCACTTTATATTATTTTTATACAAATATTTGCACTCTAAAAATAATAAAGAAATAGTATTTTTCAGTTTACCTCATACAAATACTGTAGTGCAGTCTCTTTATCATGAAAGTGCAACTTATAAATGTAGATTATTTTTTTGGTTACATAACTGCACTCAAACCCAAAACAATGTAAAACTTTAGAGCCTACAAGTCCACTCAGTTCTTCTTGTTCAGCCAAGCGTTAAGACAAACAACTTGTTTTACATTTACATTTGATAATGCTGCCCGCTTCTTATTTACAGTGTCACCAGAAAGTGAGAACAGGCATTCGCATCGCACTTTTGTAGCCAGAGTTGCAAGATATATATATATATATATATAGTACATGCCAGATGTGCTAAACATCCATATGCCCCTTCATGCTTCGGCCACCATTCCAGAGGACATGCTTCCACGCTGATGGCATTCGTTTTAAAAAAGAAAAAAGTGTTAATTAACTTTGTGACTGAACTCCATGGGGGAGAATTGTATGTCTCCTGCTGTTTTACCTGCATTCTGCCATATATTTCATGTTATAGCAGTCTCAGATGATGACCCAGCACATGTTGTTCATTTTAAGAATACTTTCTCTGCAGATTTGACAAAACGCAAAGAAGGTACCAATGCGAGCTATCTAAAGATAGCTACAGCACTAGGCCCAAGGTTTAAGAATCTGAAGTGCCTTCCAAAATCTGTGAGGGACGAGGTTTGGAACATGCTTTCAGATGTCTTAAAAGAACAACTCTCCAATGCAGAAACTACAGAATCCAAACCACCAAAAAAGAAAATCAACCTGTTGGTGGCATCTGACTCAGATAATGAAAATGAACATATGTCGGTCTGCACTGCTTTGGATCATTATTGAGCAGAACCAGTCATCAGCATGGATGCATGTCCTTGGAATGGTGGTCGAAGCATGAAGGGGCATATGAATGTTTAGCACATCTGGCACGTATATATCTTGCAACGCCGGCTACAACAGTGCCATGTGAACGCCTGTTCTCACTTTCACTGACATAAGCCTTACGCCTTTCGTGGAGGTGGAGTTAGGATTTCAGTGTAGAAGAGCACTTACGTTGGCGGGAGCAAGGCTGTAGTGTAGACACGACATAGTTAGGTCGACATAAGCTGTCTTACGTCGACCTAGCTATAGTGTAAACCAGAGGTGGGCAAACTATGGCCCGTGGGCCACATCTGGCCCACAGGACCCTCCTGCCCGGCCCCTGAGCTCCTGGCCTAGGAGGCTAGCCCCCAGCTCCTCCCCCGCAGCCTCAGCTTGCCCCGCTGCCAGCGCAATGCTCTGTGCGGCGGGGCTGCGAGCTCCTGGGGCAGTGCATATGCAGAGCTGTGGTCTGACCCAGTGCTCTGTGCTGCGCAGTGGTGTGGCTGGCTCCCGCCAGACGGCGCAGCTGCCTGTCCTACTGCTCTGGGCGGCGCAGCTGTAGTGCCACCAGCCACCGATGCTCCAGGCAGTGCGGTAAGGGAGCAGGGAGCAGGGGGGGTTGGATAGAGGGCAGGGGAGTTTGGGGTGGTGGTCGGGGTGGGGTTGTGGATAGGGGTCGGGGCGGTCAGAGGGCAGGAAACGGGGGGGTTGAATGGGGGTAGTGGTCCCGGGGGGGACAGTCAGGAAGGGGGGGGGGCTGGATGGGGAGACAGGGGGCAGTTAGGGGTCCCCGGGGGGGCAGTCAGGAATGAGAGGAGGGGTTGGATGGCCGGTGGGGGGGCAGTCAGGAGCGGGGGTTCCAATGACACCTCACATGACTTACCTTGTACAAAATACATCAAAATTATGCCATAATCAGATCATCATAATATCACTGTGAAGAATATGGGGTAAGAAGTACAGGTCAGGAAACCAAGGCATCATTGGCCTTGTTCAAGGCTTACCATTATTCAACACTCCTTTTCTAGAAGTAATCCTTCCTTTATTTAGACAGAAGAAACTAATGGAAAGGATGTTCCAGAATAATCTCTTGGTTTAATTGATTTAAAAGTGGACAGCAAAGCAAAACTTTTTTTGCCCTGTACAATTGTTTTTAGGATATATAAAGAGTATTTCATAAATTTTAAAAATATATTCCTTTGTTTTTTCTCACTGTAAATATCTGGCCTTTCTTTTATTTTACCTTAGCAAGAAAAATGGGGAGGACCTGTGCAGCTCTCCCTTCCCCCAACTCAGAGGGGAGGGGATGCTGATTCTCAGCCTTAATTAAAAAAAAAAAAGACCCCCCCCCCTTTATCTTAATACATCATCAAATGCAATAAAAGCAACAACAACAAAAAGTATTTTGCTTTAAAATTCACCTTTAGCACATTCAGTCAACTGAAAAAAAAAAAAAAACTTCTGCCTGAAAAATGAGTCAGTAAATCTTGTATCAGCTCAGAGGTTCTAGCCAAAACTTGAAAAAAACAAAGTCCAGTTTTATTGGATGTTTTCACATTTTTGATATCTTCACATTTTGGATATCTGAGGTTTTTCTGTGCAACTGAAAGAGATTAAAAAACCCTCTTAAAAGTTTGTTTACATCATGCATTTGACAATTTGTGTGTAGTCCATTTCACTATAGTCTGTTTTCTATTTTTGTGTGGTTCTTTCAGACACCAACAGAGGAAAGAGAAGCAGTTTTTTTTTTTTTTAAATAGGCAAATTGGGGAATTTGGAGGTAGTTCTTACAACTGCCTTCACTTTTAACTTTTTTTTTTAATTTAAATTACCATTTTTCAAGTTGTCAGTGTTCCTTTTGCAACACTAATAATAAGACAAATGCTAAATGTGCTCATCATCGCAACATGCGGGTGCCATATACGCAAATTAAAAAGCATCCTTTCTGTCCAAAAGGACTTGCTCTCCATCTTTCAAGGCAGTCATCTTAAAAATACACACACTGATTTTCTTTTTTCTCTCGTTCCTGCTTTTCAGGTTCCATAGCTGATGTCCTCTCGATAATTTTAAAATTAATGCAAATTAAATTATAGTGAAAACTGTTTTCCAGGCGGAATTCAGAGCTGTGTTTGTGAAGAGAAAGAGTTTGAGATTGTCACTTCTGTTTGACTTGTAGGTGACAAACACCTGTCAGCCCTCTTGGTTCTCATGCTCCTGTGGCTACACAGCTTTCGAAGGCTCATAGAGTGCCTCTGCATCAGTGTCTTCTCCAGTGGTGTCATTCACATCGTACAGTACTGCTTTGCACTTGGGTACTATATTGTTATTGGCTTAACGGTGCTGTGTCAAGTGCCAGCTAATGTCAGCAATGGTGAGTGCCTCTTTAGTGCTAACCATAGTTGCAGCTTCTTTTTAATTTGTTTCTAGTATCACAAGATGGTTTGGTGAGGGTGGGAGTAGGGGGATGGGTGAGCGAGAGATTAGTAGTATGCCTAATCTTTTCACCTTCTAAAGCTCTATCTACAGAGTGTTTTTGTGTACAGGTGAATGTGAGATAGGTATTTGATGAGATCTATAAAAGTACTTACTGCAGTTACTTAAAGTCAGACTTATTAGTCAGCACATGACATCACATGCACGCCTGTAGTATGTATCCTAGTTCTGCTCTGCATGTGGTTTCTCCTTATAGCTCAGTACCATTGTTTGCTGTATGCCACCATGTCCCTTAGACTCCCAGGCCCAACACATCATGTCTTTGTCAATGAGGTGCTTCCACTTTATGAAGGAACCTCCAGCTCAGCAGAGGTCAGGATCTCCCTGGTTACATGGCTATTATAGTCTGAAGTTTCTCTTTGCTATGGGCCCTCCTTTAAATATGAGCCTGCCCCATGGCCAGCACCTTTGTCTGTCTACTTAGTTCTTGGCCTCCAGTCACCCATCTAGTATCCAATCGTCTCCTTTCTCTTTGCTACTTGGGCCAGTTAAGTATCCACAAATCCTGTAGAGCTCTTTGAATGATGTGACTTGTTTCTGCCAACATGTTGCACCAAGTCCTACAGTTGAGCTGCTGTTTGCTCTGCTGCATAGGTACATGATGAACCAAAATGCCCAAACTGCCTGGTGTGCTTTTCACATGACTAATTTTTCTTATGTGGTCAGCACTAGGTACAGAATTTAAGCTATCTTAGAGGTAGCTTTTGTCCTCCATGCTGATTTTACAGCACTTTTAGAATGATTTTGGTGCAAACAAAGCCTTTTCTAGGTGGCACTGTCTGGGTGCATTTTCTACCTTCCTAATCATGGCATTCCACAGAGATGGTGCATTGGCATAAGCACTGGGGCCCATCCATAGTGCAAATTTCTAACAAATCAGAGTAATCTGTTCTAACGATTTTTTTTTTTAATTGCTAGTATAGATCAGGCAACACAGTTCTGTAATGCTATCTTGACCTGAGCTATGGCACTGTCTTCTAACATGGTGATAAGAATACATTTTTATAAATACTGCCACAGTCAAAAATATGTTAGAATATGGAGGGCTGAACCAAATGGTGACCCTTTCTGCTTGTAGTATGCACCATCCCTTATTCCTACAGCTACTGATTAAAAACAAAACTGACTAATTATACTGGTCTACAATTTTTGAGAAGTCGTCTGCTTCAGAGATAAAATGTGCTATTTATTATGTATTTTGATGTGCTGAAGTCAAATATGACAATTAAAATAACTGGCTACTGTTTCTAAGATATTTAAGTTTTTACATTTTATGTCTATGTATATTGTGTAGATAGTAGAGTTTTAATCATAAATTGTAAACCTAGGTCTTTTCATGTGTTTATGGTTGCTTTACATGATATTTCACCTGTCCTGTTTATGTAACACTTTAAAAATCAGCAAAAGGGTTATATAAATAAAATTTATTATGAAACAAAAGGCAAAAAACTATTCTGTACATAGTTTAGTCCTATTCAGTGTCTACTCGGCTCTTCTTGGCTTGTCTCTTGTATTCATTAAATGGA